AGGGCACATGCCCGGGTTGCGGGCTCGATGCCCAGTAGGGGGCGTGCAGGAGGCAGCCAATCAATGATTCTGTCTCACATTGATGCTTCTATCTCTCTTTCCCTCTCCCTTCCTCTCTGAGATCAACAAAAATATATTTAAAAATAATAATAATAATATTTGCACCCTCAGCCAGTGTGGCTCACTGGTTAGAATGTAGGCCCACATGGGTTTGATTCACAGTCAAGGGCACGCAAGAGACAACTGGTCCATGTGCCTCTCTCACATCGATGCTTCTCTCTCTCTCTCTCTCTCTCTCTCTCTCCCACCTTTCTCCCTCCCTCCCACTCTCTCTAAAAAGGAATGGAAGAAAAACAAACCAAAAAATAATCCCTTAATTAGGCACGAAGGTCTCTATTGGCCTTACCCAGAAATAACGTTGCTCGTGAAAGATACCAGAAAGTACGTATTTTATATAAATAGGAAAAAAAAAACGGGGGGGGGTGGATGGAACTCACCGTTTCCTCTAAAGCAATTTCTCCTCCTGTTGCGTTGGAAATAGCCAACCGCGGCCCCCACCAGCGTCACCACCACGACGGATACGATGGGAGACACGATTGTCGCTACCGTGTTGCCTGCAGGAGTCAAGGAAAAGCAAGATCGTCTGAAGGGGGAAAAAAAACGGGGCCAGCAGGAACGCCTACACCCTAACTTAGCTCACCGTCACCCCCAGTCCGGGAACTAAATGGGTGTGACCGCTGGTCTCCCTGACCCTTCGATCCCTCCATAGAATTCATTCTTTACAAAAGAATGGATTCGTGTAGACGTGCCCATCCGCTCATCGGATAAATGGCTGTGTTTCAAGCTACTGTGTGTCAGGATGCTTTGTTACGCAGCAGAACTAACTGATACACCTTTTTCATTAATTCTTTTTTTTAATATATTTTATTGATTTTTTACAGAGAGGAGGGGAGAGGGACAGAGAGCTAGAAACATCAATGAGAGAGAAACATCGATCAGCTGCCTCCTGCACACCCCCTACTGGGGACGTGCCCGCAACCAAGGTACATGCCCTTGTCCGGAATTGATCCCGGGACCCTTGAGTCTGCAGGCCAACGCTCTATCCGCTGAGCCAAACCGGCCAGGGCTCGTTAATTCTTTACAAAACAATGGTTGTGTTTCTAGCTACTGTGTGTCGGGATGCTTTGTTACGCAGCAGAACTAACTGGTACACTTTTTTGATTAATTCTTTACAAAACATGAATAGGGGCGGGCCCTTTTCCATCAAGCATATAGGTGCTGTAGATGTGCCCATCTGCTCGTCGGATAAATGGTTGTGTTTCAAGCTACCGTGTTTCAGGATCCTTTTGTTACACAGCGTAGCTAACTGATACACCTTTTTCATTAATTTTCTCAGCGGTCATGGTGTGAAAACTTCACACTAGACAACTGATACACCTCTTTCATTAATTATTTTTTTTAAAATATATTCTATTGACTTTTTTTAAGAGAGAGAGAGGAAGGAAGAGAGAGATAGAAACAGCCATGATGAGAGAGAATCATAGGTCAGCTGCCTCCTGCAGGCCCCCCACAGGGGATCGAACCCACAACCCTGGCGTGTGCCCTGACTGGGAATCGAACCCGGGACCCTTCAATCCAAAGGTCGATGCTTTATCTGCTGATCCAAACCCTCTAGGGCTTTATAAAAAATTAATTCTTTTCAAAATATTAATAACTAGAGGCCCGGTGCACGAATTCGTGCACCAGTGGGGTCCCTCGGCCTGGCCTGCGGG